CCGTAAGGCAAGTGGTGGACGTATTAAGTATTATATGGATGAAATTACCTGTAGATCTCCACTAACAATTTTGCAACTTCCTTTAATTTTTTGTCTATAACCTTCATTGTATTATCTTGGTGGAATATTTTCATAACCCTAGTCTTTGTAATCTCCAATTGACCACTAGCGTGAAGTAAAAATATTGGACCCATGGGCGTGAATCCAATTAACATAACCATGACATACATATCGTAGGATGTAAATAAAAAATTTAGTATGCAATACGGTCCAAAAGTATCTTTAATTTCCTCCACAGAATCAGGGTACGTTAATTCATATACATGTATATATTTAAATTCATCAAAAATAGTATAATAAACCATTAAGGTAATGGCCTTCAATATAAAGAAAAAAGCCCCGCTAATAGAAATAAAACACCATATAGTGATAACGAATTTCCCTTTTTCAATATGTTCTATTACACACTGCTGTTCATCTTTCGGAAATTGTTTAGCAGTCTTATAGTCAGCATTTATTTTTTCTATCAGCTCTTCTATTATTTTATGATAGTAAAACGCAACACAATATTGAAATGTTATAAAGGCGAATATAATACAAAGTATACCATTAGAACAAGCCTGGGTGTAATCGTTGTTTCTAAGATCATGGAAAATTATACAGTACATGAGAAGGCAGAAAAGCATGAAAGCTGTCCCATACATAGTACCCAGTTGAAAAGCCCATTTAACATCTTTCTTCAAATACGGCTGACATTTAATTATTTTCAAAGCAAATATCATTGTTTTGAATATTTTTTCAAAATTATCGTTTAATACGTCTTTTTTGGTATCAGGACTCGACATGGTTGTTCGAAATTAGACTGTTTTATGCACTGTTTGTCGTGGCTTTGGTAAAATGTATAAGAAAATATGTTCTTCAGATAATTATTAAGGGAAAGTTACACGTAAATATAAAATAATATTTGCATCATTATAACTTACTCTTACTGTTACGAAATACTTTTTGCTTATTTTACATTCTGTTAAACTTTGATAAATAAACCGTTAATATATAGTTATTATCAAAGGGCACAATAGTTTCTAATTAATTGGTAATATTATTGCTATTTCTTCTTATTAAATTTTATAAATTATTATTTAAAGTTGTTTTTAAATTATAATAGTTTTAACTGTAGCTATCTAACTAGATTTGAATTTATTAAATACAAAAGACATTTATTTGTAAATAATAACAAAATCTCTTTCTTATTTCTATATAATATGTTTGTTATAGCTTGAACTTAAGTGAAAAGTGAAACGTCTGTCGTAAACAGTAATGGTATGTTTAGACTCATTGGCTCTGTAATCACGAACGCGATAATTTATGGAAAAACACAAAGGCTGTCAAATGACTCGAAAATTTTAAATATGCATGTATCATAAATTATACTTTTTGTAATTACTTAATAAGCTTTAAACGATGAAAGCTTGTACCTAAACTAAATAGCAAAATAAAGATTAAAGAACCGACTTCAAAAAAAACACTAAAAAGTGCAAAATAACTGATTGGTAGTTTTCTTTACTAATACCTAATCAAATCAATTCGAAGTCGGTGCCAGCCGATAAAATCAAATCAAATAAATAAAATCGCACCGAATTTATTTATTTTTTTCAAATTTAAATGGAACCAAATTGAAATATCGAAAATTTGGCACTTTCAAACAAAACAAAAATTGTCCAAATCGGTTAATAAATGACGGAGTTCTGAGGTAACAAACATAAAAAATACAGCTGAATTGAGAACGTCCTCCTTTTTGAAGTCGGTTGAAAAAAGTTTTTCTTATTATAAGGCTTTAGCGGATTGTTATAATTACTGACATTTCAGGTGTGGATTAAATTTCCGTATGGAAAGTAATTTTGAAGTTAACGTTTTATTAGTATGCAAATATGTTTACGTGTGAACAGCCCAGCATGTATCGTTCTGTGTACAATAGCTCGAATTTTGAGTAAACTACGAACTTATACAGTTACCCGCAACAAACATAATAACTTTTTAATAAAAACTTGAAGAAAACCGACTTCCAGGCGCTAAAATGTAAAAAATAACTAAATGGAGGTTTTCATTTAGAATAGATACTTAATGAGATATTTTCGAAGTCGGTGCCAGCCGATGCAAAGCAAGTCTAATATATTTCGATATGTAAAATACATCACAAATTGATGTATAATATTTTAACTATAATTAGAGTTCATACCTATTACCTAATCATATTTACCTATTAGATATTCATATATTAAAATATTATAGGCTGGCACCGACTTCGAAAATATCTGATTAGGTATTTATTCTAAATGAAAACCTACGTTTAGTTATTTTTTACATTTTAGTGCCTGGAAGTCGGTTTTTATTAATTTTTTTAAAGTTTTTACTTTTCCATTTTTAGTGTAGACGTAATAAGCAGTTAATTTGTAAGAAGAAAGTTTTTTAATAACATATTCGATTAAACAATTTATTTAAAAAAAAAATTGTTGATTTTTAAAAAAAACCGCTCGACCGATTTCGATAAAATTTATATGGGACCACCTGGCAAGGAACCCTTTAAAACAAAAAAAAATATACTTCCAAATCGGTTCAGGCGTCTTCGAGTACTTGGTGAACACACATTAAAAAAAGATTCCGACGAATTGAGAACCTCCTCCTTTTTGGAAGTCGGTTAATAAATATACACACCCATTGTCTTACATTACCTTTATCAAGAGACGGTCATTAATGGCTCTAATTTGAAGAGACTGGTATAAGTGGCAATACAGCTTAGTGTTGCCGATTTAGGTCAGTATTGCTTAACGAGTGTAGTCTTAACTAACAAATCTTTCTCCTTTCGCCGCTGCAACCAGGTAACTTGGAAACTTACTTAAATTTACAATTTCTTTTCTATAGGTACTAATATTATAAAGAGGTAAAGTTTGTGAGTTTTTGAATTGTGAGTTTGTGACGTTGTAGGGGACAATCTCTGGATCTACTGAACCGATAGAAATGAAAGGTAAGAACAATTTGGTAAGAACGACATAGGATACTTTTCAGTCCGAAAATCAACCCCTAAGGGGGTGAAAATGGGGATGAAAGTTTATATTTGGACGAACACGAGCGAAGCGAGGGTGAGTCGTTAGCTAAAACATAGAATACTGTATTTGACAAAATGCAGTACATATATCAGTAGATAAGTGTTATAATTTTAGAAGTATTTAAGGAGAAGGACAAACTGAAACAACGTGTTCGGCTGTGGCACAAAAGAGTAAAAGAAATTATATTATTCCACAGAGTAAATACACACATGAACACAGATTATATATTACCATTAATTAATTATTATAGTTTTATTTTGACCAATTTCAATAGCACCTTGTGTTTGAAGTTTTATTGTTTTTTGTAACGACTTACCCTCTCTTCGTTTGAATGCGTCCATATGTACCAAATGCCTATCCATACATTATAAATATGTTACTTCAGGGGCCAGGTCATAGTCTATCTGTTTACTTTCATCGAAGTCCGATTGTAATAGATACAATTATTAAATTAATATATAGACAATTGCAAAGCGCATAAAACCATTCTGGTTGCTGTTTTCATGCATCTTACATATTTAAACAGACACGGTTCAGGGACTTCAACGATGCGAATAATTCATTGCACAAAGGCCGGCTTCTCGACATGTTGTGAGTTGCGCCAAATATTTACAGAACAAAACATCGTATGCACACGCACAACTACGTGTCCTTATATCCTTTTTGTCTTGTTATACGCTCTTAGTAGGAGATCTCTATCTATGTGGTGGACCTCTCACTCTTTTTCCTGGCGATTTTTTTAAGTACAAGAACTCTTTTCCTGTGACAAAATAGTATCAATCGAAAATAAAAGACTTGTAGAAAATGCCAACATACGTTTACTACTTACGTTTACCGTTTGCCTTTTTTCTAGCAAATTATCTGAATTAATCATCCAGGTATAAAAAAATAAATTGAAGTAGTTAATTGCTCGTATCGTTTTTCGGAACGAGCCAAGTTTCAAAATCTAGATAATTTTATAACAAATTTAATTATTATATAGGGTTTGTCATACAAAAACATTTGCAGACTAGAGGTTTGTAATCAAAATTAGTCTGGAGTAAATTTTTGGTGACAACTCCCCTGGGTCGTGTTTATATGTTTTATGATTTTAAAAATATATTTCGTTTGGAAAAATAATTAGGCGTCCACCACATAGATAGCGGATCCTAGTCTATGTCTATTATCAGAATTACTATATCTAAGAAGGTAATGATTGCGAATTATGAAGGTGAACCCTCAACACTACTAATGTGATTATAATTTTTTTTACAGGGAAATACACTACTCCTGAAGCTAGGCGACCTCTTATTCCGAAGAGGGATTCATATTTCTATAGTAAGCTACGTTTTAATATTATAGCCTACTATTCTTAAACGAGAGATTGTGGGTTTAAATTGTAGATGAATATTTTTGTATTAATCTGATTAAAGTAAAACGGGACGTTAAGTATCCAAAACATTTAGTCAAGAACCATCTAAATAAAGAAAATCTCATTAATTCTTGTCTTATTTAAGCAAATCGTCTAGAACATCATTATCATTGGAGATACTTTTAAAACCAAACTTATTTCTACGATCTATAAAATCAATATGGTGCGTACGTAAATATTTTATTTAATTTTAAATACAGTAAATTAACACAAATACTTTGTGGTACCCTCGCTACGCAAGTAAGACTCGCATTTGATGATTTTTTGAAATATTACGAAAAGTGGTAATCATGGAAGTGATTCGCAAATGAAAATATCAAAAATGCGAGACCCAGGATTTGAGCCCACTTCACTCGTTTTCCCATGTGAGCGCGTTACCAATGAGCTACCACTATCTAAGTTAGTATATTGTTAATTTATATTGTTATAAAAATTATAAACATGATATGAAAAACATTTTTTAATTTGTTCTAAAAACATATTCATGTTTTGTTTTCCGACGGATGCCAAACATCCCACGTATTATTATGTAAACTAGGCTTAGACTTTAAGTTTACTTCATGAGGCACTATTTTCCTGGGTATAGTTCGTTTTATTTCAATCTGTAATCGAGTGTACAATTTGTTCGCAATTTCTGGATGCGCTGATGACAAATCTTGTGATTCACATGGGTCTTTTTTTATGTTAAATAAACACCAAGTTTCTGAAATATTAATATACAATAATAAGTAGATATCACTAGAATTTAAAATATATGAGTATTTTGATAATTTGATTTAAAGTTCATATTTTGAGTTGTTTTGAAGTTAATTTACGATTCTTACCATTGCTAGGATAACAAATATTTTCAGATCCTTTATTTTCATTGCATGATATTTTAATTTTATTTCTCAATTCAATATCTGATATTTTAAAATCTATTCCAATATCTGAAAGAGTTGTATACATCGCACTGTTCCTAATAGCATCTTCATATGATGGTGGAGGCCTTGTGACCCCTTTAAATACATGACCTTGATAATTGCTATATTCTGCCTTAACCGTACCAGTTATCAATTTATAATCTCCTTTAATAATTGCAGCAAAACCAGTATAATCATCAATTTCAACAATAACATCTCTCTTGGATTCTCTATTACTTTTTATTGTTTGCCATAAATCTACACCATCTATACCAGATGGAGGTTCAATACCGACTGCACTTAATATTGTTGGTGTCCAATCAGATACGTGCATATATCCTTTCCATAAATGTTCGGAATTTGTCAAATTTTTGGTCCATATTAGGCCGTTAACTCTAATACCTCCCTCGAATGGACTCATTTTAACGCCTCTCAAAGGCCAGTTAGACGCGTAATTAGCTTGTTCTTGTGTTGTCATACCGCCGTTGTCAGATATAAACACTATAATGCTGTTTTCTAAAATTCCTTTATCTAATAATGCCTTTATAATGTCTCCTATGCTATCATCTAGTTTTTTTACCATTGCTAAAAATGAAAAAATAAAACTTTATGTAAATAATTTAGTGTTTATGATATATCTATTCAACAATCTACAACTAGAAAATATGTTATTACAACTACAATACAAAATTAATTTATTTTCGAGCTTAAAATTAAAAATAATAAATCTATCAAAATTTAAATATTACCAGCATAGTAACGTCTTTGAGGCAAATCAATATATCCCATCGCACGAACGATATCAGGCGGCGCTTGCATCAGAGCACCTTCGTTAGCCGAATGAGGCGCGTTGTGGCCTACCATTAAGAATAATGGCTTTGAAATATCGTGCGATTTTATAACTGTAAAAAATATCATTTGATAGTCACTTTTTCTTCTTTGGTTGGTTTTAACAATGTTAGACCGAATTGATTTATTTCGAAGATTCTTAATAATCATTATTGGCCGTGTTAAATAATTATAAAGAATCTCATACAATTATTTTCTATTTTTATTGCATATTATATAAATATATATTATTGTAATAATACAAAAGCAATTTACATACTTCATGTAATTAAACTTATTTCATGTTCCTACTACAAATTTAATTTTAGAATAATTTTTAGTAATGTCTCATTAAAAATAATAATAAAAATACCTTGAAAATAATTAAAAATGAATTTATTTTTGAAAATTAATAATTCATATTGAGTAGTTCCCTCCTCTTTTTTGAAAACTGTCTAAATGATAGATAAGTAAACAGACAAACAGACAGATAGACAAAAATACTCAAAAAAAATTTTAAGGGTGTTCTTGAAAAAATAGATCTTCATTCGGATGATTTAAATCCTCAAACCCATTTTTATTTATTAATCATATAGTAATAATTATGATTATAATTGATTATTTTTATTTATTTAATTATCTAACTAAGACAATATGCTGATTACCGCCTTACTTGATTTCGCTTCCTCATTATAAATATCCGTTATGTATCCTTCCACATCCCAAGCAGCCGTTTCGTTTCGGAAAAGATCGAATCCTGAGACATCTCCGATACTCCACTTAAAGAGAATGAGAAATAAACATAAAACAATCAAACTTAAATTAAATAATTTGAAAAAATCTTAAAAATGTGCCTTGAAACGGGATGTTTTTTAAAACACTTTTAGTACAGCTGAAGGACGAGTTTTTTATTGAAAAATTGCGTAATAAGGAAATCAAAATAACCCATTAAAATTTGTTGAAATATGAACGCAGTCCTTCGTACAGAGGCAGAATCTATAGTTTTTAGATTTTTTGTCTGTCTGTCTGTCTGTCTGTCTGTCTGTCTGTCTGTCTGTTACCGCATCACAGAAAAACCACTGGAGGGATTTTGATAAAATTTTGTGTGGTCATAGCTGGTTATCCGGGTCAACATATAGGATACTTCTTACCGCGGTAAAATATCTCATTTCTGAGAAAAAATGCAAAAACTGCAATGTAAGAGTATACTAATATCATGGACGAATTAGAGACTGGACTTGACATAAAATACAAATGTATGAAAACTAGTTCAACCAAGTGACGCATAACGCACACAAAGATTTTATTACATTATTATAAACACTGATACAAAATACAATATTTCTAGTGCTTGAACATAAACAAGATAATTACATTAAATATTTTCAATCAATAAAAATTATGTTGTTAAAGCCCAGTAGATTTCTTACATAAAAAAAACACAAAAAATGAAGTTTTTACAACTCTTAATACAACCTTTCGTTATAATTATTGCCTTTGGTGACCCATCCTACTAATATTATAAATGCGAAAATTTGTGATGATGTATGTATATCTGGACGTTTAGATGTATGGATATTTGTTATTCTTTGACGCAAAAACTAGTGAATCTATTTAATGGAACTTTACAATTATATAGCTCATACATCAGAGTAATACATAGGCTACTCTTTATCCTGGAAAAATGTACGGTCCTCGTGGGATAATTTGTTTTTGTTTTTCTAGAGGCAAACTTGAGGGTAAGCCGCTAGTACAAAATAAATCTCGAATACGACCAGTTTTTACATAAAATATTAAATTAAACTCACGTTTTCCAACAAATTATATTCATAGTAGTCTATGTATCCTCCTCTATGTCCAAAATGGGAATCAAACCCTCGATATGTCGGTAAATATTCCTTTCGCGATTGGCCCACGTGCCACTTCCCAACCAAGTGAGTGGCATAACCAGCATCTTTGAAGTATTGGGGAAGAATTTTCTCTGTAGTAGGTAGACCTCTGTCCTCTGCGTTTGTTAAAGGATACCCTTGCATACCTGTGAATAACTATGTTATTGAATAACGTTACAAAAAATAAAGGCAGATTTTTCCATCTTGAGAGAAAAAATAAAGATAAATTAAAGCTTATAATTTACAGTGCTTAATCAACTAAAAAGCTCAACTGCTTTAATATTATTTACTCTGCTTCAAGTTAGTGGATATATTTTATATTACCGAAGTAATTCTAACTAAATATTCGTAAGCACTATCGATTTTACAGTAATTTGAGAAGAGCAAACATTTATAGATACACTAGCGATAGACCCTCGCTTTGCTCGGGTACGTCCCTAGGTACATTTCAATTTTTATAGAGCGGAACCCTAATCATTTTTCTTAAATCAAAGTAGCCTAGGTTACCCCTTATAACATCAGCTATCTGCCAGTGAAAGTCCCGTCAAAATCAGTCCAGTCGTTTTGTAGATTAGCCGGAACAAACAGACAAATAGACAGATAGACAGGCAGTCAAAATCCAAGTATCATATACAATTCATATACATTTAGTAAAAAAGCTGTTATTTTGACATTATAGACTCTTTAATTTTATTTATTTGTATAGATAAAGAGTTTCGCCTTAATCTGCAGACAATAATGAGGATACTAGTTAACATTTATTAACTTAACGCAATCAGGAAAGATGAATCACATCAAGCAAATAGCTTGTTGCGTCAATTAGCGACACGGCTTCAAAGCTAAATATCTTCATTATCGTTATTATAAATGTATAGAAAATGAATATTTAATACCGTAGATATTCCAACAGATAAATGTAATGAAATCTGTTATTCTAAATTTTCTCAGTTAAACTTGAAAACAATTAGAAATTGAATACGTCACTACTCATTAATGGATGCTATTATAATGATCCGAATAATTCTTTTTTTAAAATTATAGTAGCCTTAGTTACTAGTTATAGTGTTAGTTATCTGCCAGTGAAAGTTCCGTTAAAATTGGTCCAGCCATTTCGGAGATAAGCCGGAACAAACAGACAGACAACAATTTTCAAAATTGTCTTTTTCTTATAAGTCCCGTATATGATTCTATATGCATTTAGTAAAAAGCTGTTATTTTGACATTAGAAACAGACACTTAAATTTTATTTTATTATCTGAGAAAATTCCACGTTACATCATTCAAACATACAATGCAGAAATTATTTTGTAAAAATATATGTAATACTATTAACTATATATATATATATATATATATATATATATATATATATATATATATATATATATATTCCATTCAACTCTACCCTCTAAAAGTTATGATTATATTGTAATAAACAATCAAGTAATATTGCTGTGTTTACATTGTTATTGATTGAGATCACTAGTCTCTCAAAGGTCTTTGTTATTAAATAACTCAAACATAAAGGAACAGTATAAAATTGTTATTACGAAGTGAGAGTTAGAAGTCAAGATTTTTTAAGACTCTACCATCCTCGATTTAAAAAGTCACACAGTCTCAGTTTATAAATAATATAACACAAGGTATACAAAAATTATTTAAGTTATACATATAAATACATATGTATATATATTAAGGGCTGAGAAAATTTTTACAACATCAAGACCTTTTACTTTTCATATATAAAAATAAATCAATTTCATACCAGTCACGTGGGCGAATTTGCCCGTGAGGAGAGCGGACCTTGTAGGCGTGCATATACAATGACTGTAATATCGTTCTAAAGCCACCCCAGTGTACGCCAGCAGGTCTATATTTGGAGTCAAAATTTGATTTGAGCCATGGAAACTCACATCATCCCATCCCTGCAATATCAATATCGCCTTTTAATATTGATAACACTATAAACTTATGCATGACAAGTGTTCCAATTTTAATAGATATAGTAGAATTGTTATAATATTGATACTAAATGTTATGGATTCGAATCTTGTTTGAGGTTCTCCTAGGTTACTGCGGAGTTTACATTTATGCATTATTTTTTAAAGTCAGATTTAAAGAAGTTGTTTCTAATATAATAATTATTTTATTTATATAAAATAAATTAGTATATAATTATTTAATTAATATAGTTCTTTATGAGAGTTTTGTTTGCTTCATTTACTGTACTTTATGCGGTATTTCTCTGTACAAGTTAGTTAACTCATCTTGTACTTAGCGAAGTACAAAAGGAGTTGAAAGATGAATTTTATCAATAATAAGACATAAAATTACTTTAACAATTCTTTACTATTGGAAAAAATATTTATACGAAAATGACCATGATGTAAAAATGATAATAATTCTAATATTAAATCTTTTAAAGTAAGTTACGCCAAAGAAGAGATAAAATGAATATGTAAGTACCCATCATATTTTTATTAGAATAGATTCTAGTAGATTTCTATACCTAAGAGCTATATTCTGAAGAATAATAATAAATAAATAAATATGTTGGGATATTAACACACAGCACCATCTAGTTCCATGGTAAGCTACGAGGCGTGTGTTATGTATACCAGATAGTGGATACACTGCACATATATAACTTTAAATACATACATATTATAAATATAAACACCCATGACTGGAGTACAAACATTCGTCATCACACAAATGAATGCTCTCAGCGGGACTCGAACCCGCGACCGCTGGCACAGCAAGTAGGGTCACTACAAACTGTGCCAAACGTGTCGTGAAGAAGTACATATATTAGAATTATGCATGCATTCTAATTTCTAACATACAGTGTAAAATAATATTCTTATAAAAATGTATGGTACTTACCATTAGTAATAGTTTTCTTAGTAGATTATATTTAATACTAGGAAAACAAAAACAAACCTATCTCACGGGAACCGTACATTTTTCTAGGATAAAAAGTAGCCTATGTGTTGTTCCAGACTATAATCTCTGTGCCAAATTTCATCCAGATCCGTTTAGCCGTTCTGGCGTGAAAGAGTAACAAATATCCATACTCACAAACTTTCACATTTATAATATAAAAAAAACGGTTTTTTTAATTTCACGCATTTCTTATGAGTGGTAGATATATGAGAACAACATTATTAAATTATTGTTGATTTCGACCTTTAATTTGTTCCGTGCTTGAATCGTATGATAAATAAAAGTCATACCAACAGAAAAAAATGTTTAGCCGTACATTTTTTGTGGAATGACTTTGATACTCCCATAGAATCGAAAATAGCCTTAGTGGGATTGTTGATACTTTTTACTGAAAGCGAAATGACTTGTCACTGTTAGGTTCTGATACTTAATGCTACAGATTTAGACAAGAATCGAACTCGCGATCTTATATGAGGTATCATTTTTACATAGAAATAATGATGTAATTTTAAGGCTTTACTGTTTTTATTTCACTGTATACTGCCTATTTATATTTGGTTACCTAATAAGCATAACAGGAAAAGCATTTACAATTAATCTGTTTTTATAATATGTCAAGTTGGTGGCAAAAATTAAAATGATTTGTCATTGCAATTATAATTGTATATTGTACTAGCATTGCCCGTGGCTCCGCCCGCGTTCAGATGACTAAAAACCAAATTCTTAGGTTTTACATATTAGTATACTCTTACAATGCAGTTTTTATATTTTTTCTCAGAAATGCCTATATGTTGACCCGGATGGCGGATATCCAGCTATCATCATACCAAACTTCATCAAAATCTGTCCAGTGGTTTTCTCGTGATGCGGTAACAGACAGACAGACAGACAAAAATTCTAAAAACTATAAATTCGGACTCTGTATCGATAATAATGTCAATTTCAATTAGATTCTCCAAAAAATATTTAATGTACAGATTCGACTTAGTTACAATTTTATTATATGTATAGATATCATTAAAATAATTCGTTTATTGAGTCAGATTTAAGTTTTATTTTAGTTCTTATCGCTTTGATAGATCATGAGGGTCAGTACATTTACGTCTAAGGTTCCAAAGGATCTATTGCGTTTTAGTCCAAAAAATGTTTAGTACCAATAAGGAAGTTAGTAGTGTATTTAAGCCTTCGTGAAATATAAAGCCGTTGCCTCTCGATCATCTCATCATCTCCGGTCACGTCGAATAGCTGTATCAGTCTATCGTAGTAATAAAGGATTAATGCACATGTATTCAGTGCTAATATTTGTCCGCGGCGGCTTCGCTCGCGTGGTAACTGAACCGGGGAGCAATGGTAAAAATGCTAAATTTTATCAAAATCTGCTTATGTGTTTAAGATTGAAAAGCTTACAGACAAGACAGAGTTACTTTCAAAATTATAATATTAGTATGGATTTGCGTATATCCATAACTCATAAACACTATATTTCACGTAGGTAGATAGGTTTATGTTTTATTAACAGTTATCTATTATAACTCAAACATGCACTCGAAACTCTCCCCCGATTTTTATATTTGATCGGATCGTTTTAGTCAGTATAATATAACCAACTAGCAGTCCATCGTCGCAAAATAAATATAATGTGATTTAAATAATCGGTTTAATATTATTTAATCAATAATAAATTAATTATTAAAATTGGTTTGGTAGTTTCAGAGGTTATCGCCATATACAAATAGATAAACTAACATCTTTTTCCTTTTTCTTATATTAGTATAGAAGTATGTAGTAGTAAGATGTACCTACTTACTGTTGTACTAATGTTGTTGTTAAAACAAAAAATGTATTAATATTAAATTTAATAAGAAATTAAAGGACAAAACTTTGTGGCATTGTAAACCTCCACCACGCACCGTGTACGACGAAATTTGTATAGGTACATATATACTAATATATAAACGTTTGAACGCGAGCGGAGCCGCGGCCAGTACTAGTTTATTATAAATCTATATCATAAGTGAGGTTAGCCTTCATGACTCATGTCATTCAAAGGTTATAATGTGTTTGATTGACGTCGATTAATACAAAAACAGATTACGTCTGATCTACATACAATACTATATTAAATTAATAACTATATACATACCTATATCTGGAATCTAGATCAATAAGTAGTGTTAAGTCTAAATCAGAGAGAAGTACTTAGTATTAGGTAAAACAATGGCAATAACGTTTGAAAGTGGCGAAAAAGACAAAATGAGGCAAATATTATTTTTCAAAATTTGTGTGTATGTTTGTTGCTTCTGAACGAATTTGAATGAATCTTAGTACACAGATAAACCATGATCTAGACCTAGAATAACACGTAGACTACCTACTGATAGGCACGTGCCCGAGCGAAGTGAATGTAATTCACTTATCTATCTATACTAATATTATAAAGAGGTAAAGTTTGTGATCTTGTGAGTTTGTGGGTTTGTGAGTTTGTGAGTTTGTGAGTTTGTGACGTTGTAGGGGGTAATCTCTGGATCTACTAAACCGATTTAAAAAATTCTTTTACCAATAGAAAGCCACGTTTTTTCTGAGTGTCATAGGCTATATATTAACCCGAAAAATGAAAAGACTTTTTCCTGGTAGCCGGATTTGCAAAGTAAGTCGGAGAAAAAACGGTCGAACGAAAACGTTTCTTACGAACGCTGCCTTAACGATGAGAGATATATGATTATGTTCTCGAGAAAAGTTGTAGAGCTTAATAATACCTACAAAAAAGTCAGCGACAGCATATGTCTAACTTTTATATTTAAGTCACAAAAAGTGGTTTTTTATATTAAAAAAATAATTTTAATCGGTAGGTCATGTTTATTGGTCATATTATCAACAATTATGAATTCTTATCAAAATAAGTAAATTTATCGTCTAAAATGTTTAAAACAAAAGACTTTTCCCTTTTACTGCATATAATTTGGACAAATGGTTAAAGAGATAATACAACATATTCGTAGGTATGGACGAACCCGAGCGAGCTGTTTGTCTGTTTTCCTGTTTGTACGGGCTAATCTCCGAATCTATTGGACCGATTTAAATGAAATTTTGCATGGTGGTACCTTATATTCCCGGGCAACATTTTAGATACTTTTTATCCCGAAAAATTAAAGAGTTCAATCAGAATAACAAATAGGTTACATTCTATCCCGGAAAAATGTACTGTTCCCGTGGGATAGATGTTTTTGTTTATTTGTAACGTTTTATGTACACAACATAGACCCCAAAACGATAATTATTAAATAAAAATTTCTGTTTATCTATTTGCCTGTATGTCTGTTTGTCAGTTTTTGCGTGAGCATTTCACGCGAAAAGTAATGTACCGATTACTTCAAGAAAATCTTTTTTTCCACGGGTAATAACTGGTTTTATCGAGTCCTTCCTAGAAACCTTCCGATGGCTAAGACTTAAGACATGTATATACATACATTAAAACAATATACTAAAACATTGTATGTCTTGAAAAGTCCTACAGAAAAGTCCTGAATTGTATATGTCTATTTCCTAAGTCACACTCACAATATCTATACGTATAATAAAACTGTCTTAGTCAAATCAATGTGCGCGTTTCACGCAAAAAGTATTCAACCGATTTTAACTAAATTTTGTATAGTGATAAAACTTAGAATTCGGGTCAACATTTAGGATACCTTTTACGACAGACAAATTATTCATTCCCACAGGAAAACACAATAGCTGGTTCTATCGAATCGTCCTTAGAAATTTATATGGCTAACGTTGACTCAACCTTAAGAGATAGATCAAAACATTGTGCAAGAAAATTGTAAGTCTTAAAAAGGTCTATAGAAAAGTTCTACATAGTATATGTCTATCTCCTAAGGTTTACTCGCTATTACTATTTTCATTATTATATATTACTGTTTTATTATATGTTATTTATTCTATCTATGCATATAATAAAACTGTAGAAGTTAGAAAAAAATGCGCAAACCAGTCAGTTCTCTTCTTACATCCCGAAAGAAGAGAAATAGAACAAATCCAGTTTTTTTTTCAATTGTTTTGTTTCTCAGTCTGTTTGTCTGTTTGTACGGGCTAATCTCCGAAACTATTGAACCGATTTAAATGAAATTTTGCATGATAGTACCTTATATCCCCGGTCAACATCTAAGATACTTTTCATTCCAGAATAGTAAAGTGTTTCCGTGGGATAGTTAAAAAACTATAGTAACTTATACAGTTTAGTACACAACAACTTATGCACCTAATTTAGTAAAATTTGGCATGCTGATACCTCATATTGCCGGTCAAACAACAGGTTACTTTTCATCCCGGAAAAGTGAACGGCTCCCGTGGGCTAGGTCTGTTTGTGCTTTTCTAGAGGCGAACCCGAGCGAAGCGAGGGTGAGCCGCTAGTACATTAAATAAAATTGTAACTAAGCCGAATCTGTACATGAAATATTTTTTGGAAAATCTTATTGAAATAAACATTATTATCGATACAGAGGCCGAATCTATAGTTATTAAATAAAACTATCTTTTCGGATTATTTCGCGGATTTATTTTGATTTTTGGTTCCCGACGTTTCGAATGCTTTACAGCATCCATGGTCACGGGAGAGACTGAGGTGTTACATGTCTTAAAGATATAGTTGTTACAGACAGCCTACCCACAATTAACAAAATGAAAATTGCACCAATTACATTACAATATTTTTAACTTTAAAGATTTTTTATAATTTTAATTATAATTGAATATGGAAAATTATTTATTTAATTTTTGCTATTATTTTTATAATTATTACAATTTTAAAAATATTAATTAGTAATGTATATTTAGTGTTGCCATTATTATATTTATAACCATAAATAAAAATATAAAAATATAGTATTAATTATTAAAGCCATATAATTGTTCTATGTGTAATTTAAAAAGTTAAAATTAAT